AAAAGTCTACAGGAAACTCAAACGCAACCCAACATCCAGCATAGAGAAGAAAACATCTTCTCTTCTGAAAAATGCAGGTCTCCCTCTTCAAACTATCAAGTATTTAACCCCTCAAGATTCTTCAGCACCTAGACTCTACGGTCTTCCAAAAATCCACAAGGAATCAGTGCCCTTACGCCCCATTGTCAGCAATATTGGGGGACCTACCTACCAGTTAGCCCGCTATCTCACCAAACCCCTCCAGAAACTTACTGGTCTCAATGATTCTCATATCAAGAATTCGGATTTCGTGAATAAGACCACAAAAATCAAGATGAATACTATAATATCCTGGTGAGTTTCGATGTAGTCTCACTGTTTACTAATGTTCCAGCCCAGGATACTTTGAACATCATCAAGAATTCCGAGGAAATTCCTGCCAACCTCTTCCCACTAATAGAACACTGCTTAACTTCAACCTATTTTCAGTTCCAAGGAGAGTTTTTCGAACAAACCTCTGGAGCGGCGATGGGATCTCCTATATCTCCTATCATTGCAAACATCTTTATGGAACACTTTGAGAATAAAGTTTTGAGGAACGCACCACTGAAACCATCCACATGGTTTCGGTATGTGGACGATACTTTCGTAATTTGGAATCATGGCAGGGAAACTCTTTCTCAGTTTCTCGGGTTTCTCAATTCACAACATCCCAGTATTCAGTTCACAATGGAAGTGGAACAAAATAATCAAATACCCTTCCTGGATGTGCTAGTCCAAAAGAACCAAGATGGCACCTTAGGTCACCAGGTCTACCGAAAACCAACACACACCGACCGATATCTACATGCAAACTCTCATCACCATCCCTTGCAAAAGAATTCTGTCATAAGTTCATTGGTTTACAGAGCGCTCACAATTTCGGAACCATCTTCTCTGAATGGAGAACTAGAACACCTCAGTACAGCCTTAACTAAAAATGGATACAACAGCAAAAACATCTCGCAAATAATAAAAAACCAGAAGAACAGAATTGTCAGTCCTAAAAACACTGACACACTAGATGAAGAGAGAGAAAGGAGAAAGACGGTTGTCCTTCCATATTTCCAGGGCATAACAGAACCGATCAGCAGGATTCTGGGTAAACACAAAATCAAAGTAATCTTCAAACCCCATAGAAAGCTCTGCCATTTACTCCCAAATCCGAAGGATCAGAAATCATGCCTAGAAACATCAGGTGTATATAAGATCCCTTGCTCTTGTGGTAAAGTTTATATAGGAGAAACCGGGAGGAAGATCAGTACGCGAATCAAGGAACACCAAGGAACACTAGCGATGTACCAAGTATGGTCATTTTACTCAATCAGCCCTAGCTGAACATTGGATAGAGACTGGACACTCCGTATAATATGACAAAGCCACCAGATTGGCTCTCTCACAGAGTTATTTTGCCAGAAAACATCGTGAAGGTCTAGAAATTTAAAAAGATCCCAACAACCTCAACTGAGCCAAAGGTATGCAAGTAAACTCTATTTGGCATACTGCCCTCCCGGTTTTTTAATTGACCAACTGATCAATTAAAATACGCTGATTGGCTGGATTCAAGCCCCTACTCCCTAACACCATTTACACAAGGGGGGGGAAGAGGGGGGCATATAAGGACAACCTTTACCCAAGGGAGCTCAGTATCAGGGGTGCGTTCGAAAACATCACCCGTGTGTATTTTGTCACACTCAGATCGTTCGAAAACCCCTAGTGGGCACACTGACCATGCGACCATGGCCGTTCGAAAACCGTACTCCATGGACCACTCGTGTGACTTTTCTCCACTCTCTTTTGCGCGGTGTGAATCGGTGGAGATGGTGGAGAGTGCGCAAAGAGTGCAATACAGTATGAAATTACTAAATTATTTATGGTTTTTTGTTCTTCGAAACATTCGTACAACCATTAGCCATCACGGTAAGATAAAAAATTTAAATACAGCAGTTAGCCAGGTTTAGATTTATTTCTATAGTGATGTATATTGTCAGAATATTGTCTTTAAATATAAATAAAGCTTATTAAGCTTTTTGTATTTTATAGGTTCTGAAATTTTCTTACGAGATACGAGGCACGTTAAAAGTCACGAATCAGTAACAATTTGTGAAAAAAAATGGAAAATTTAATCCCGGGTCGTCATATTTTATGCATGGATATTTAAAAAAATATACAAAAGGATGACAAGGGAAATGTCTATATATACGATGTTAAAGGTAAGGAGTAATAAATAAGTTTATAAATTTCCTTAGGCCTGGTGCCCACGATGCTAGAAATCGATCCGAGTTCTCGGACCGAGGAATATATAGCCAATTAACTTTCCAGATAACTAAATTATAAATTAATAATTACTAAATTAACTAATTAATTACTAAATTTATTAATTTATTATTATTTTGCTGAGAAGCAATTATAGCTAATGTCGAAATACGCTTTCGATCAGCCATTTTGTACAACACATATCTAGGCATAACACACATGTAGTATGTCACATTGAGCATTTTTCCATGGCTGTTCGAAAACTCCTCTCGATACCAACTCCATTAACCCCACCAAGCCCATCCACCACAGCCACTTTCCGTCGTGGACTTTCAGTGTTTTCGAACGCACCCCAGAGTTCTCAGCCCTGATGATGCAAACTGCAACGTTTGCGAAACGTCGGCACATCGCTGATTCGAGACACGGCTCCATTCCGGAAGCTATACCTAGACAACCAATCAATATGTTGTTTTTCCGTAAGAGCTAGAAGGTTATTACGGAAAGCAGCATTTTGATTGGCTGCCGTGCGAACTTCCGCCGCGCGGTAAGCATTACCGCGTCCTGTGTGCAGGAGCCATAAGGGTGAAGTCCTATGGCACGTGTTTTCGCGTAACGCGTAACCGCATAACCAATCACATTTTTCTATTCTTTTAGAAGTTTTAATAGAAATACTAAACGTCGCAATTTATTAGTTACACGCTTACGCGATACGCTTAAAATACATGCCATGGGACTCTAGCCTAATTCTAATGGCTCCTGCACATAGGACACGGTAATGCTTGCCGCACGGCGGAAGTCCGCGCGACAGCCAA